ATTGATATATATATATATATATATATATATATATTATTCAGAGTCTCAAACTGAGCAAAAATGTACAATTTGGTGCAGTTGCTGATATTTATATGGCCAAAGTATATAAATATCAGAGGTCAGTGATTATAAGTAAGATGATATTTAAATGCTTAGTTTTATGATCGAAGCTCTTTAGTTTTTATTGTGGGGGCAAAACATAATGCAATGAAATACAGTGATGACTGAGAGATATTTGAGTACAAATATCAAAATCCTCAAGTATCATATTTGATACTGACTTTTTAAACATGAATTTTCTTAAAAATTATAAATGGTTAATTGAGTAAATGGTAAAAAAAAAAAAAAAATCAAATGAAAGTACTAACAATATAAAAAAGTATTCTTACATTTACTTATTAAAAAATCTGTAAAGATTTCACAGCAAAAAGGCATGCGTACCACAACCTGAAGAGGGATGTTTTAAAAAATTATATTAAAAGGATTTTTACTTGCTAATAAAGTATGAAGCACCAATTAGAAAGCATGTAATATATTGTGTACAAGATATTTCTCCAGCAATTTTTTTTTCTAAGAGGACTTAGAAATTGTGTATGATACAGTGATACAATTTTCATTAGTCACATCAATAACCCATTTATTATTGAAAAGCCTGGGGAAAAGTATTGCATACACAAATTTTAATATTATCAATATTTTTCCAATATTTAGTATCCACTCAACCCATCTCTGCCCAGAATGTGTCTTCAGCTAAAGTGGACTACTATAAATCTCTCCAGTTTGAGGGCCAGGCCTGACCTGTACTGTTGGCCCCCATGAGTCTTTGTTTGGCAGACGCCTCTGCTTCTCCTTTCATCCTCCCTTGAGATAAATCCCTTGATGGACCTTCTCGACTCTGGTTGAAAGTGCAGCGCAGCCGCCATACATCACAGTGGAGCTGGTCTGTTTGATGTGGGGCTGCTGTGGCCCACGGGTGGGCTGGAGATGGACTTCCTCACAGTTCCCCCTAGAAACACGCTCATCAATCCTACGATCTGACCGCAGATCTCCCTCTGCCCGGCCACCTCTGCCCTCTTGACCACAGAGAAGCAACAACAAGAACGCTCAGCGTCAGACTGGGTGACGTTAGGGCAGAAGCAGCTATCCATCACTCCGATTAGGCTCCTGAAAGTATATAAAACACCACTTAAATTGGTATCTTATTAAAAACAACTTACATACATTTCTAACAAAACTGACTGATATCATGTGACTCCTAAATTTCTTAGTCACAAATGTATTTAAAAATAAACTTTATAGTCACATCACATGAATCACGTTTTGCTCCCTGAACCCAACTGATAAGAACAGACTGATAGTTCTGATAAATCACTTTCACTTTCAGTTCCACAAGATCCCAGTTATTCCAGCTTCATATTCCCAACCATCTGCTGTCAGAAAACCATCAGCGATATTTTTGTTCTTTTCCTCAAATCAACGTGAAGTGTGCATCATGACTCACAATAAGGTGCCAAAATCACTTGAGGGGGAGGAAACCCCACACAAACACAGGAAGTGCTGCATTTCACACACAGGGACAGAGAGTCTGAGGTCTGTGCTCTGCTCCACTGATTTTGGGATAAGATTAACCTGGCCGAGAGTTACATTATTGTTGCTCATGACAGCTCAGCCTCAAAAAAACACTGTGAAAAGTTGTGTTATTTTGGTGCGTTATGAGACTGAGGAAGTAATAAAACAGCACCGAACGCGCAACCAATTGAGGATCTGTCAAATTAGGAGTGGAAAGTGAAAGTCTTGTTTTATTGATGTTTAATGCTGATATTTGGCTTTGTCCGTCCAACACAATAGTCTTTCCAACTTTTTTGTCCCTGAAAACTATGGCTGATATGCAGATTCTGGAAAAAACATCACTAAACAGCCTCTGTGGAGAAGGAGTTGCTTACGTATTTCTTTGCTTGAGTATCTGTCATTACCATAACATGGTTAACTCAGCATGTTAGAATAATGTCATTGACCTGAGTGCTTCTGACCGAGGAAGGTTATCAGTGGGGAAGAAATCTGACCAGATGACAGAGCAAAGGGACCACCAACTGTTACTGGAGTATGGATGTTGTAGTCCACATTTACAGCAATTAACTTCATTTAGTTGACCAAATCAGTGGAAAATTATGACATTATTTTTTAAAGTACAAATATTCCATGTAGTCGCCCAGTTTATACGAGCTCATAAAACTGTTTGAGATGGGAGTAACTATCCTCACATGTAACTAGTTGTGTACATGATATAAAAACCGCAATATTCCCAAGTTGCACCACAGTCTGTTCACTTAATTTCCTTCATAAACGCCTCTTTATGAAAGAATTCCTGAGTATCTGTTACAAACGGCAAATGAACTTGAATCTCAAATATTTAATCACTGGTTTATAGCACCTCCCTCATTCATTTCATCAATGGATTCTATCTCACTCGCACCATTATTTGGGTAAAAAAAAAAATATAGTAGGCTATATACTGTATAATTTGAACGTTTAGGCTAAACTCTGGCGCCATCTAGTGAACACCTTGAAGAAATCATTCTTTAATCGCCACATAACTTCTAGGCATATTGCATATAACTTGATTAACCACTAGATGGCGTTGTGATGTTGAAAATAACTGCTATTAAACGGACTGTTTAAAAAAAAAACAGCCAGTCTTTTAGGGCAACTAGGAAGTTACAGTCAGTAAACGTTTGTTCTTGTAATAAATTGTGCCATCATGTGGAGTTTCGTCATTTCAGCTTAGCTGGGTAGAAGAGGAATCCATAACACTCACACAGTCTTTTTATATTCATGTGTGTGACGTTCAGTTATTAAATCATCATAGGCCACCCAGATGGACAATCCAATTTTAAATGTTTTGGAACATGGTTGCCAAACCAAGGTGGTCTGCAAGCTTCCCATTTAAGTATACTATGCTTGTAGTGTACTTCATGACTATATTTCCTAACACAGTTAAGTGCACTTTTGTAATTACAAATACATGACAATGACATACACATTTCAATAGAAATGGCAGAAAAGTACCTATATTTTCGTTTACCATGAATGCGTGTCAGTACATTAAAGCTACTTTTACCCTTGCAAGGGTACGCAGTTATGTAAAATTACCCAAGTAAATTTCAATACTAAATGTTTAAAAGTCTTAAGAAGGTCTATTTCCAGTTGCTTGAGGTGAACTGAAATGTTATCTGAACGCACAATAACGATATCTAAAAGGGCATCAAGGTCTCGTGCTACCTCGGACTGTTCGTACCTAAAATGTTTACTTTTATATAATTTTGAATGTCCTGTCCAAGTAGCCCAGAAGGGCGGAACAAAAATGAAGGCAAGGAGAAAAACACGCAGGCTGTGTTTCAAAACGTACTGAGCCGCCTAAAGTAGACAGCATTTTTAGCACCGAGGGCGTGCTCAGAATCCGTTCAGCTAAATTAACAAAACCGCTCTCGAACATGCTGTCTAGAATTTTGAAGTCAATTCAAAAAGCGCTACGAATGCTGTCTAGTTAGGCGACTCGCTATGTTTTGGATCACCGTCTTGTTCTCATGAATCCCCATTGGTCAGACTAAAGCTCCTCTGCTGCCACAATACTGCACACACGTGACCCAGCTTTTCTGTACACACACACACACACACACAGTAAAACACAGCAGGCACTTAAAAGCCAACGCCATGGCGCTTTGACCACCAATTTCACCCTATATCCAAACAATCACTATGAACCCTCTCCGTTGACAAACACTATCCCACGGCTAATGGCGAGCGCGCTGCAGATGAAGCCCTCCAGTCTGGAGCACACACGGAAGCGCGTAATAGATCCACGACGGAGACAAGCTGCGCTCTCATTCCTCAGCAACATCTCTCTGGACGGACGACCCGTGCAGGATGACGGGGAGAATCAGACCGAGGACGAGGACAGCTCCAGGACTAGACAGAGCCTGGTTTCTGCAGTGGGCCAGCAGGCATTGGCCGCAGCAGCGAACCAGGCTCTCAGCAGTGCCCGAGCTGCTGGTTTCATGGCTGGTATCACGGGTCCCAGCGCGGCCGCCACCGCGGCTGCTGCTGCTCCTCTTCCAGCGTACGGAGCGGATGCGGAGGGGGATGTGTGCGGCTCTCAGGTGCTCCAGTCCGTGTTCAGCTCCCCCTTTTCAGCAGTTCCGCCGGCTACGAGAGGGAGACTTCAGACGTACACTCAGGGAATCCTGCCTGTGTCCTACTCCAGGCAGTCCAGCCAGAACTACTGCTGTCTGGAGGGAGGGCAGATAGCCAACTCTGCCCTGGAACTGCAGAGATCCAGGTAACCTTATGCACTGGGATGAGGACAGGTCATTAATTACAACAGTAATGCAGTAAGGTGCTCCACGAATTATTAACATGCAAGTTCATTTGTGTTAATCACTATTTACATATATGCAAATATGCACCAACAAACATAATCCTTTAAATTTAGCTCACTTGTAGTATTACATTGATATTGACGCGTATAAAAAATCTAACAAAAAGGGAAACCAAGTGCCACATGAAAACAAATGATTCTAGAAATAAATTAACCTTTCGGAGTCATTTCTGTAAGCACTTTTAAGCGACTAACGTCAAGGGGATTTTTAGAAGATTTATGAAATCACTTCTTAAGTTTTCTTACATGTTACCTCAGGTGTAGTTCCTCACATAAACTATGAATATGTTCCACGTTTACTACCACAAAGTGTCTGTCCAAATACATTTTATTCAGTATATCAGTTGTATTAACAAACTTAATTTACATTTCACTCGTGTGAGAGGTAAACTAGTGCTATCTTTCTCTAAAATAAATGCAATTTGGGTTGATATTTAGACTATTTAATAGAATTGCATTCATGTATTTTGTGGTGTAAGTGTCCAAATAGTTTTGGGGGGCACCTGTCTGTGTTAAACATAGTTCTTTAATAATGTAAAATTATAATGCAAAATTGTAATTGCAAAGTACTAACATTTGCAATTATGTTGTAATATGAACACTCCGATATAAAGACACTTTTTTTTAAATCAGTGACATGGTAATTTTCAAACTAAATTCAGGCATAAATACTGAACATCACAATGTTTGTGTACAGTAATGGGTCCCATTAGGTGTCTTTAATTGTTTGATACAGTGTACTTTTTTTGTTGTATTGCAAAAGTGTTTCACAATATTGCTATTGAGGTGGGATACAGGTTATTTTTAGAGAAATACACATTATAGAAGCTGTGAAGTGAGAGATTACCTAGACTTTATTGAAATGGGAGATTAGCTGCCATTGAACTAATGGCCCCATTAGACACATTAAACACAATCCCTGAAAAAACAAATCAATAAACTCCATTCAGACTTTTCTACAGTACATCATTCATTCATTAATATCCTAAGTGACCTGTATTCTGAGGATACTGCCGATGACACAGTTTGCATGAGTGAATTTCTCAGTTCACCTGTGCTTACCAAAACATTTGAACAAGAATTTAAAAGATATTTTTACATTTAATATCAGACAATTTTTTTGTGTGTAATGTTTTTATTAATCACTTTACTCTTTGACAGCATTTTAAAAACATATTTCCTCATTGTCAGAACTGTTTAAATGTAAAAACCTATTAATATGGCCCTTAAAACTCTTCAAAGCATATTCATCTTTAAAATGTGCCCTATGAAGAATAACACACCGCAGCCAGTATCTCTAAAGTACCAGGATCATATATTTAGCATGTTCATAGTGACAACTGTGTCTAATCGGAGATGAGCAGGTGGCAACACTGAAGTATCTGCCAGGCACATTAGTTTCAGTTCCAACCAACATAACCACAACATTTCAATCTCAGCCAAACAGCCACAGCACTGGTGTCTGTTGCTCTAACTGTTGCTTTAGAGGCATGCAAAGCACAACCAAATCTACAGTCATTAACGTTCAGGTTACAGTATCTTTTACTTTCTCTTTCTAGCATACACACACACACACACACACACCTTCTGCACCTGCTTTGAGTGCTTTGTGAACATATGAACATGCTGTAATTTGAGACACTAGAGGCCATGCATGCAAGTTGGATGTCCTTTGTTCAGTTGCTTTGTTTTGGAGCCAGAGAGACAGCAGGGAATGTTTTCGTGAATATAGATAGTACGCAATGCACTGTTTTCTTTGGTGTTTGTAAGGAAAGAGGGACCCAAAATGGACTTGCAATATATTACAGAAAAATTATGTTATGCACAACTGTTTTCTCATGACAATAACTGTTTTAATGCTTCACTGTGGTACTGACAGGCACCGGACTGACCTGAAACCTAATTCTTGCTTCATTTCACTGTAATTATGTCTCCTGTTGGTTTAGTTGTGCACTGTACTCAGAGATGGGTCAAAAAATGTCCCAACATCTAAATGAAGTGGTTTGACTCCAGACAAATGTAATATATCTGAATTATTCTTACTATATATATTGGGATACTTTAAAATAAATAAATAAACAAATAAATAAATAAAGTTTAAGGGTCAGGTCACTTTTATTTTGAACTATCACTTACAGAGAATGCCAGAACACTTTATTTGTAATGCCTATTCTGAAAATACATTTTTCATTTTACTTCAAGATGATTTGCAATGTCTTAGTAAACTTTATTTGTTGTGAGGACAGCTGTATTGCCACTCTAATATGCCGATTTTGATCAATTGCACACGTGTGTACTTTTTCTTAAAGGGTAAGTTCACCAAAAAATAAATTCTGTCATTAATTACTCACCCTCATGTCGTTCCAAACCCGTAAGACCTTCGTTCATCTTCGGAACACAAATTAAGATATTTTTGATAAAATCTGAGAGCTCTCTGACCCTCCGTAGACAGCAATGCAACTGCAATGTTCCCAGGTCCAGAAACGTAGCAAGGACATCGGTAAAATAGTCCATGTGACATCAGTGGTTAAACCGTAATTTTACGAAGCTACGAGAATACTTTTTGTGTTACTTTTCGAGTTACCGTCTTCCACCATTTTGGAGAGTACCCCAGAATGTATTCAACGTAATCAGCGTTGTTTACATTCAGTAGAAAGCGCACACATGCTGAGCGTAAACAACGCTGATTACGTTGATTACTGTACGTTCTGGGGTACTCTCCAAAATGGCGGAAGACGGTAACTCGGGGAGAAGAATTGTGGAGTGGTAAAAATAATGATGGGTTTTAAACAGGTCTACCAAAATACCCCTAGTTTACAATTGGTTGAACTAAATGGGTATTCCCACCCCAAAACTCACTTAATTATTTGAGTGTGTCCACAGGAGTCAACAAATAGCTAACATCCACTGCAAAAAAAAAAAAGTTAATTGGTTAATGGTAAGTTCAGTAAAAGTTACAGTAAATCACTGTTAAATTTATAGTTCCTTTTGACACTTCACTTTTGATGGTTTTTTCTTAGTTTTTTTCTTATCAGTTATGTACATTAGGGCTTTATGTTACAACCTAAGTTGTTAAATCTATTTTTATTTTATTAATTTAGTGTCATATGTGGTACCATGATGGTGGTTTTGTATTTGTGTGCATGACACTGTGCATCTTCTATGTATTATTTACCTGAGCTTTTGGAAAAGCTACAGCACTTGGGATTACCTTTGATTGTACATGTGGCCTTTTCGTTATCACTTGTGTTTTTGGTGATATAAAGATATGCTATTTTATTACTTCAGCAGCTTGGTATATTAACATTATGGCAGTAAATTAAATATAGTATATATTTTCATTTTGTTTTTAAACTGTAAATTAATTCTGTAAAAGCTAAAATGTTGCTACCTTATTTTTAAGGTGAATTTCTAGCAGCTATAGCTGCTGTTTTTTTACAGTAAATTTCACTGATTTTTTATAGTCATCTCTGCATATTAAGTTCAGATAGGAGAACGTATTTTAACATTACATACTTGAGCTTTAAACAGTGTAGGACTTGTTCTAAATGGGCAGCTGCTAGAAACAAACACAGGTTCCAGGCAGGATGCCCAGACTCTGCCCTGATCCCCCCCCCCTCCTCCACTCCCTGCCTCTGACCTCCACTTCCTCTCCTAGACCCCCTCCTGCATGGGCTGCCACTTTCCACCAGGAAGACCAAAACCTTTAGAAGCACTGCCAAGAGCAGCCTGTGAAGCGAGAGTGTGCAATGTAGTTCTGTCTCATGTGCTGGCACATGCCTTCAAGAACAAAATGTACACACACACACCCTATATGATCCTGTTCTTCAGGGCCTTCTGTTAAGCTACAGTCTGCCTTGATTGGGCGGCCCAGACAAAAGCATTATTGCAACTCAGTCAGGTCTAACTGTGTGAAGAGTGTGGTGTTATGTAATTCCTGAGCTCTAATGGGTGGCTATACATCTGTGCAAATAGCCTGTGTCTTTCTGGTGCCGACTTTAATCTTGCCTAACAAAAATTGCAAAGTCCTCCAAGACAACTAAGTAGAGGGCTCTAAAATTTTCAAGGGTCTAGCTATATTACACTATAATACCGTATTCCATTTTACTGTGGGGGAAAAAAGTAACTATATGCAACACGTTCTCACTCCCAACTCGTCACATATTGACGCTTGGTCAGGACCACTTGGCGTCGCTTTTTGAAGCTCAAGGTACCTTTTTGTTGAAATTTTTAGACGTGCAGGGTCCTCTGTTGTTTTCAGTTGTTTGTCTTAATTTAATGGTTTTCATGCATTTGTAAAAAAAACTGAAATAATTTTATATAAATTTATACTTTCATTGGAGCACCTAACCCCACCCCTATCCTAAACCTACCCACTTCTGAACAATATAAAACATGTAACAGGCAAATATGAGTGCAGTCACAGGTAACGTTATGTATTGCAAAAACTGACCATAAACAAGCAGTATAAACCAGTCGTGTTGCATTCCAAGTCTTCTGAAGCCATTCGATGTCTTTATGCGAAGAAGAAAGTAAAACATAAGGTTTTAATCACTGAAAATGATCCCGCTCCGTTAACGCGCTCACATCTCATTCAAAAAGATACTCCGGTAGCATGTCGCAGTCGGTCACGAGACATACAAGAGCCAATAGCATTTCACAACCAAGGCAGACGTAAGGCTTCTTCTGGCGGCATTTTTTTAATTTGTGCCCAGACTGCATACAGGATCTGAGCTTTACGGTGGACGGAGACGGCAATCGCATCTATTCCTCTCACAAATCAATTGTTTTGCCTCGGAAGACTTGGAATATTAATACTTTTTGAAAAATTTTTGATGGTAGTTGTATCTGCCTGTTATATATTGTGTTTTATTGACAAATGGTATAGGATTAGGGGCAGG